CGTCGCTCGCGGGTGGCGGGGAACAATAGTGGTAAAGGTGATGAAGCGTTTGGAGTCCACGGCGCGGCCTCGTGGGGACAGCGTTTCCGAACCCGGACACCTGTCGGGGCTCCTGCGCGGGCTTTGGGCCCTGCCCTGGGCGGATCCGCTGTCCGAGGCTCAGTTTGGTGGACTGTGCAGCGGGGAGAATGGGCGCGCTTGACCGGCCGGACCCCACGGCCCTTCCCAGGTTGGTTTGCGGGGCTCGAGGGCTGCAGAGTGGCCGTGTTGTCCCCAGCCGCCCGGAGTGGGGCGCGTGGGGCTGGGGGGGCGAGTGGCGAGTGCGGGGCCCCGGGCTCCGCGGGCTCGGGACGGCGGGCAGCGAAGTTCTGGGCGCCACCCACGGGACCGCGGGCGGGTGGGAGGACTTAGACGAAAACACCCCAAAGGGGACCCGGAGGAGGAGCTGGAGGCCCGGGCACTGGCTCAGCTTGCACCGTGAGGGTACCCGGTTCCAATGGAGGCGCCCGGTGGGTCGCCAGCCACAGGAGCTGGGGGGTCTCGGAGGGCCGGCCAGGCCTGGCTGGAAGGTGCCTGGAGCTAGGTCGTTGTCCTGTGATCCCCCTCTACCCCAGGCCAGAGGCTGTGACTGTCGCTGGGTAATGCAGCACATCTGCAGTTTGACAGTAAGAGACCGGGAAAGTGCGGTCTTGAGGTTAGTTGCAAGTGAGTCCCTGCCGTGAAGGGACAGCCTCAGGAAGTCACTTTACCTCGGGTTCACATCCTTCGCCAGCCCCTTCTGTCCACCTTCAGTTGGGCACATATTTGCTGAGCCCCACTCATCCCCCAGGTGGGGGGGGCGGGGGGGATACAGAGGTGGCTAAGACGATCCTCAAGTTTGTGTAACATGGTCCCGTGTATGAAGTGCCACCGTCTCTGACACACTGGCCAGGTGTAGGCACGGATGCGAAGTCGGTTTTAGGCAAAACTAAGTGTTGGAGCTGACAGCTCAACGCTTACTAGCAGTGTGGTTGTGCCTAGAGGTTACTTTTGAGCCTCAGTATCCTTGTCTGAACCATAATAAGACATTTCTGTCTGGAATTGAGGATTAAATGAGTTAATGTAAGTGGAGAGCTTAGAAAAGTGCCTGGAACATAGTTAAAAACTCAGTTTAAAAAGTAGGAGGTGGTTGTCACGGAGCAGTGGTTGACTTTATAGACCTTGGACTAGTTAAGTGATATCAGCAATGAAATTTATAGGTGGTGTGGTGTAGGAGCAGACGCACTGGTCAGAACACTGAGATTGAATGCTTTTGTTCAGCTAGGTGTGGCATCAAGTTCAAGTTTATATTGAAAACAAAGTATGGAATGTAATAGTGCTAACAAAATTATAGAGTACTTCCCAGGACTCTTTGGAACCTAGCCTGGTTCCCGTCCCACTAGAACCCATGTAACATAGTCCTTCCTCTGTTCCTGTGCTCCAGACACCCTGGCCTACCCTCAGTTCCTCCACAGGGTGGCTGACCTTCTGCCCTACCCTCTGACCTGCAGGGCCTTCACCATGAAATACTCGGAAGCCTGCCCCTCTGGTTCTTTCCTGGACTCCTTGTCTTGCAGCTCTCTGCTTAAGCAGAAAAGCCTCCCCTACAGGGAAGTCCTCCCTGGTTGCCACTGCCAGACTAGATCAGATCTTTTGCTTCATATTTCGTCCCTTTCTTTGTAGCCTCTGTCTCACTTTGAAATTGCACACTCCATTATGTAATTGTTTAATGTCTTCTTAGGTTTAATGCCTTCTGACCACTCTCTAAGCTTTGAGAGGAGGAGTACCTGAAGGAGTCACCTTTACCTATCCAGCACTTAGGAGAATCCCTGGCATGTTTGTTGAGTGAATGAATTGTCAATTAATGATGTCACCAATAACTAAGCTGCTGCCTGTTAATGCGGACCTTTTACCTTTTTATGTGCTATTTCAATTAGCACTCCCAGCAATAACTCTCAAGATATTTGGATGCATTTAAGAAGTGGTTCTTGACTGATAGGCCACCACTCAGAGATGTCATTACAGATGAGATGACCCATTCAAATCCTTTTTCCCTATTTGTTGATTTATTTTTATTTTTTAATGTCGGAAATAGTTTATTAATTGAATTATAAGTTTAATTACATGAGAATTAGTAAATTCATATGTGAACAAATAACCCATATATAATTGTGTCATTTAATTCATTTGAAGAAACAAAGCACCAAGCTAATATCATTTTCTGAAAGTAAAAAATTTCAGTCGTTTTTTTCTTTATCACAGCAGGGAACAAGTTTTAGTAGTTTTACAGAGTTGGAGTTGAAAGTCTCTGTAGCCTAATTATAAATATTTATTTTTCCAAAAGTAAATTGATTTCATGCAATAAAATTATTGAAAGTCGCCTTTTATTTGGCTACCTAAGGTTAAAAGCTGCAGGATGTATGTTAAGCTTCTACCAGAAAGTCTGGTAAATAGAACATTTGTATTGTATTTTCTTATTTTACATAACATATAAATTTAAAATATTTTTTTAACCAAAAACATCCATAGTTTTGTATGTTTCTTTTACATCCTGTTCAAGGAATTTTGATTGTCATTTGTTCAACACTTGATTCCTTGAACTAATTACTCAGGGTAACCAAAGAACTGATGGTTTATTAAAAATATTGTTTTATACCATTAAGTTTCATTCTTTCTTTTTGTTTTGGTACTGGAGATGGAACCCAGGGGATTTTACCACCAAGTCCTTTTTATTTTTTGTTTTGGGACAGGGTCCAAAACAAAAAATAAAAAGGACTTGGTGAGGACTTGCTGAGGCTGGCCTTGAACTTGCATCCTCCTGCCTCAGCCTCCTGAGTCTCTGGGATTACAGGCATGTGCCACTGCACCCAGCTTAAATTATGTATTTATTGCTTTCAGTAGTTGTGTTCATGATGACGTTGATGTTTTCTTTTCGTGATCATGTCTTTATAGAAACAAAGAAAACCCCTACCTGCAACAACTTCCTCTGGGAAGTTTTGTATTTGTGTGTGTGTGTGTGTGTGTGTGTGTGTGTGTGTGTGTGTGTGTGTGTTGTTGTTGTTGTTGTTAGGACAGGGTCTCACTGTGCTACGTGGCTGGCCTTGAACGCTTGGGCTCCGGTGATTCTCCTGCCTCAGTCTCCTAGGAAGCTGGGACTTCAGAGTGGGCCACTGGGCACTAGCTGAAGGGTTTAGAAGCTCGTCTTTGGAGTGTCAAGGGACAGTGTGGTCCAGGGCAAAGAGCTTGGGCTGTGGAGGCCAGGAAGACTTGGTTCCAGAATCTTGGGTTGTGGCTTCTTCCAGGCATAGACCTTCCCTGTTTGTAACCTGGAAGTAGGAAGTCAACCCTGAGACTGGGGGTGGGGCAAAGGCTGACCAGATGACCTTGAAAATGAGAGAAGGGGCCTGTGTACAATGACCCCACTTTTAACCTTGACCTGAGCCCACTGGTCTCCTGTCTCCAGGTGCCTGAGTGTCTCCAAGTTCTGTGGAGTTGATCCCCTTTGGGAGTGTGTACCGAGTCCCCTGCCTGAGTACTGGAGGCTGATTTTTGGCTCCCAAGCGTCTCCTGGAGTGGGCGTCCCCTCGGCAAGCTCTGCGTGGGGGGATCTGAAGGGTGGCTCGGGTCTGCGTGGGAAGTGCTCATGGAGTTCACCGAGTCCTCCCTCAAGCCTGATGGAGTCCTCCACAAGATTTTGGTCTCTGTGCTTTATTGTTGCTTGTAAGGACCTTCAACAGCGCAGTTCCCTCCAAGTGCGCTCATCACCTTTAACATGAAGGATGTGTTCACGCTCCTGTCACCCTGAAAAATGAGGTTGCTCTTGATTCATGGAGGTTTATTTGCCTCCAACCTGACTTGCCTAGAGGCTAAGATTGTCATTCCCTGTCCTGTATTATCTTGTGTCCCTTTGTCACCTACCTCTGGCAGGTATTCTCCTGTCCTCAGTACCTGAGTGCTGGAGTGCAGATGGCAGAGCAGCTCTGGGGCTGGCTGCGTGGGGAACAGGGAATGGAAGCCCAGGTCAGGGTCTTGGCATGGACCTTTGTTAAAAGGAGGTGGAAGCAGATTGAGGCCTGGCATCTGGAAGCCTGGGAGTATAGGGGGTGATGGGCAGCTGCTGGGGTATGAAGGCAGCAGGTTGGTTCAGACCTCAGCTGGCCTCCTCCCAGACTCTTGGAAGCCTGTATTGATACAAGCCAGCCTTGAGGGCAGAGCATGATTATTATTTTTTTTAAGAGGTAATAACAAGTGCTTCCTGCTAATACGAGGCCTAAAGCCCTTTAACAGGAGGTGAAACGTTTTATTCCATAGTTACAACAATCCCAAGGATTGGAACTTTAGAAATACTAATGTGTAAAACAGAATTTGGTTCCAAGATTTTCAGGTGTACAAGAGGACACCATTTTCTGGAAAACAGGACAGCTGCTGGAGACAGGAGGAGGGAGAGGCTGATGGGACCAGACTCCAACTTGAGGGCTGGGTGGTTTTCACATGAGTGCTGATGGGTCTGTGCAGGACACCTTGAGTTTCCTACCAGCAGCCCACACACGCCCCTTAGGAACACCCAGCAGCTGCCTGTGTGGGGTGGGCAGCTCTCTAAGAGCTGAGACTGGACGGCCCTGGAACTCCAGGGGACTGCTCTTGTTGCCTTTCCTCCGTGGCTCTCCCATTGCTTCTGCAATAACACCTTTTTTTTTTTTTTTTTTAATTTAAACCAGGTTGATGAGGTGAATACCTTGGAATTATTGAAAAAAGTCACCTTTTAATTGCTTTTCCAAGGAGATGTCAAAGTATGTCAGTCTTCATCTAAAAAGGCTGGTAATTAGAATGTGTTTGTTGATATACTTAGTACGGGATTTTTAAGAGATTAAAAATTTAAATTTATGATGCATGTTTCTTTTCTGAAGATGTGCAGGACAGTTTTTAAAAGTAAAAGACTTGGGGTGAAGTTGGTAGAGCTCGTGCTTGACACGTGGGAGGCCCTGGGTTCAGTCCCCAGCACCCAAACCAAAACAAAGGGTGAAAATGAGAAAAACTGTAAATGCACAGAGGATGGCAGGACATCACAAGGCATGGATGAGAATGTTCACAGGAGTGAGCATAAGAGCTCCATGCTAGGAACAATCAAAATGTCTAACAATTGTAGATGAAAAGATCGTGGCGTAGTCACACACACCGGAATACTATATAGTAATGAAAATGGATTAACCA